ACCATTAGGAGTGTTTTATGGTCGAGTCTGATGGGGTGCCATGCCTGGCCCCAAAGTCTATTTTTGGTACTCCCTTGGGACTTCCTTGCTCTGGTCCCCTTGCTGTTTTGTTGCAAGCCCTTATTGTTTTGCCTCAGTGTGGTGGGGTAAGATTGGGTGCAATTCCCACACTTTGTCTCCAGTGTTGTCCCCTGTAGGGCTATGGGTCAGTGAGGGATGTCGAGGGATGTCCCCTGTAGGGCTATGGGTCAGTGAGGGATGTCGTATCTCGTAGTAAGGTCAGCCATATGGTCCTCTCTGTGCATTGGCTGCTCTGAGCAGGGATATTGTCCTCAAGGCTTGGTGGGTCAGAATGTGCTCCACTCTCTCTTCCGTCCCCTTCATTTGCTCCCATGTGCTCTGATCAGACATATCCCTCTCCCTGAGCTCTAGTTTCAGTGCTGTCCTCTGAAGTAAATTCTTCTGGGGGGAGGGGTGGCTGTTCACATAGTTGGGATAGGGGCCATAACCTTATACCTCTCTACTGGTTCCCTGCTTCATGCCAGTATGTTGCATTCACATCTTGGAGCAACCGGGTTGAAGTCTAGTGCCCCTTTCCCTGTGGAGATATAAACAATACCCTCCAGTTTTATGGCATGGTGATCTGAGTAATCTCTATGTGTTTGAATTTACTCAGGCTCGATTTGTGTCCAACATGTAGTCTATTTTCAAAAATGAGCCATGACTGCTTGAGAAGAATATGAATTAATTTTTTTTTTTTTTTGCATTTGGATGGTAAGTTCTATATATGTCTGTCAGGTTCAGTAACCCAATTGTGTTATTTAGCTCTGTAGCCTCCTTGCTGTGCTTCTGTCCCAGTGATCTATCTTTCTCTGATAGTGGCATATTAAAGTCTCCTACTATGATTGTTGACTCTGTGATTTCTTTTCCCATTTTTTGAATAGTTTGACTAATTTCGCGTGTATCTTGTTAGGAGCAAATATTAATTTTAATGGATGAATATGTAATTACCAATTATACAAGGGCGTTTAAAAAAACTTCATGGTAAAATTTCTTTAGCTTTTGATTCTATTTTCCCATGAACTTTTTAGAGTCCCCTTGCATATAGATGTTTTTATTGTGTTATTAAGCCAAACAGGACTGCTGTCACAATAAAACTCAGAAATACGTACTACCAAATGAAATAGTCCTTGATATTTTATGGACATTCAATTGTTTAAAAACCACTGCCCTAATTTTCTATGAGGGGATTTCAAAAAGTTCATTGGAAATTTTAATTTAAAAGTAATGGAATTTTGCCACCAAGTTTTTTGGAGCCCCTCTTAAACGCACATAGTTGAAAATATTTGTGTCAAACTGCCCCACTCTACTGTGATGCAATACAATCTGACTAGGCCCATCAGTAAACTTCAAGTTAACTATTATCAAACTAGGACCCCCTGGTGGTGAAAAGTGGTTAGGCTGCTTGCTAACTGCAGGGTCAGCAGTTCAAAACCTTCAGCTGCTCGTCTTTCTATTCATAGAGTTACAGTCTTGGAAACTCATGGGGGCAGCTCTGCCTTCTGCCAGGTCTCTATGAGTCGTCATCGATTCAATAGAGTGGATTTGGTTGGACTATTAACCTAGTGGGTTATGAGTTGGCCTGATAATCACAAGGTCCGCAGCTCAAACAGTTCCTCAGGAGAAAGATGGGGCTTTCTGTTCCCACAAAGATTCATAGCTGTGCAAACCCTATAGTATCATCGTGATTGGAAAGAGGAGCGCTGGGAGTATAGGAGATTAGCTGTTGGGCTGCTCATTGCTAAGTCAGCAGTTGGAACCCAGCAACCCTTCAGCGGGAGAAAAATGAGGCTTTCTGCTCCAATAAAGATTTCTTCCCTGGAAACCCAAAGGGCCAGTTCTACTCTGCCCAATAGGGTCGCTGTTTTGACTTGTTGGCAGTGAGCTTTGTTTTCGTTTTTAATGAGTTGGAATCAACTCCAGGCAGCAGATTCTTTAAAAACAAGCTGCCAGCACTATGTTGAAATTTTATCGAGTCTTTAAATTAGCTTAAGTCCTTAATTATCTAAAAGCAAACAAAAATGAAAATAAGAACTGCACACAAGCGCACCCGGAGATCCAGAGGGAAGGGACGTCTCTGGAGAGTGCTAGAAGAGACAATTCCTGAAATGGTCCTTGTTCTGGAAGTTTAGATGAGCAAAAGGCAGAATCATGAAGCTTTAATTCCATAAACCTATAATACCCGGTATCACTCAGCAAGATCTTTATTCTTTTAATAATTTTGTCTTAAAAATGACGCCACAGGTAACATCTGCATTTCAGCGCGGCTCCAACAGCAGCGGATGGCCATCGAACCACTGTCCGTGGCGTTCGGCAGAGGTGCCCGGCTCCGAGCGGCCGTCGGGACGCGGCGATCGGC